ATTTTCTAATCCTTCGAAAAGTCTACAATAGAGGTGCCCCTTTCCAATAGCCCTTTAAATCAGCTGGCTTGTGAGTACAAAGTGCTGCTCTCTGCTGCCCTGCTGTGTGTTTCACATTCTTGGTGTCAGGAATGTGAGGTCACCATCTGCCTTATGCTGTGATTATAGGTGTAATTTCCTTTACCTGAGAACAAGGTATCTCTTCCTAGTTCAGTATCCCAAAGACTCTCCTTTCTTACTCACAATAGATAATTCTTGGAGGGGCCCAATCTGGCACTTATATAGAAATGACAGCCTGTTATTTTGATAATTTCAGAAAGGAGTCTCAGGACCCCTGGACTCTGCCTGGTGATTAACAGAATCCAGTTCCTTTCTGCAATGCAGGTGTTTCAAAGGCCAACATCATTCATGCCAAATCTGCTGTTTGTTTTGTTTTTCCCAGCCGTTATTTGTGGGGGTATTAAGTTAGCTGGAGAGTATATCTAGCTGAAATATAATGAATGTGGTCTTTACTATTCTTGACAAAGGCAGTTAAAGGAAGTAGAACATGTAAAGGGAAATTTCCATATGAGGAAGTACCCAGCTTATTTCTCAAAGGACTTTGGTGGAAGCCAGGTTGTAGAGGTGACTGGCCCAGGGTGATGTGAAGGAGGCTCCAGATGAGGAGGGGGATCTGTGTTGCTGCTGAGCAGTACAGATGGACAACATGCTCCCGTGTGGGGCCATGGAGGATGGTGAGGATGTCGTTCTAAATAAAAGACCCTGCAGGTCAGATTCCAAACAACCCAGGTGAATGTTGATGTGGGGTGATTGTTTGCATTCAGCACTGCACACACTCAGTAGCGGAAGGTATACTTTCCTTTATTCATAAAGCATCTCTGGTGTTCTGCAACCAGCAGGTTTTTATTATGAGGAAGTAGTGAAAGCAGAGTTTGGCATCCCAGGTATTGGTACCAAACCATATTGGACCTGATTTTTAATCCATATTCTGGAAACAATATTACTTGGGTCCAGCCTGGTAAGCATTTCCTACCTGACTCACACTAGCAATCATTGTGCCTTCCCGGTGTTTAATTATAAATATAGTATCTAAAGTTTATTGAATCCTTAAGTTCTTTATCCTCATGGCAGTCCTATAGGGTGGATACCATTTCATAGCTGAAGAAAACTAGAACATGGAGAGTTAATGCCTTGCCCCCAGCATGTACGGTTTTTAAGAGGCAGACCTGGCATTTTCCACCACAAATTGTACCACACAATGTTTATGATTATAATATGATAGTAACTTTCTAAATGATCATGGATTGTAAACCCTGCAGAAATATTTCTTTCATTCACTGATGTGTTCCAGTGCATAGAACAGTGCCTGATACACAGCAAGCAATGAATTAAAGTTGTAGAAAACTGGGCATATCTATTTTTGTGCTCGCAGCAGGGAGAAAGGGCACTCTGGAAACTGAAATCAAGTCGTATGAGAATGTCACCTCCTTTACTTTTGCCACTTTGAGACATGAGAATATTCTTTAAGAAAAATACATTTAGAAAACAGAAGGGCAGTCCCAGTGGCTCATGTCTGTAATCCTAGTGCTCTGGGAGGCCGAGACAGGTGGATTGCCTGAGCTCAGGAATTCAAGACCAGCCTGAGTAAAACTTAGACCCCATCGGTAAAACTAGCCGGGCATTGTGGGGGGCACCTTTAGTCCCAGCTACTGAGGAGGCTGAGGCAAGAAGATTGCTTGAGCCTAAGGAGTTTGAGATTGCTGCGAGCTATGATGCCAAAGCACTCCACCAAAGGTGACAAAATGAGATTCTGTCTCAAAAACAACAAGAAAAGAAAATAGACAAATAAGGAAGGAAGGATGAAAGCAGAAGGGAATGAAAAGCAGAAGGAAAGAACAAGTAAAAGAAAATAAACCTCCGCATTCACCAATAAAAAAAGATGAAGTGAATTACACTGTTTCAGATTGATGAAATATTTTGTCACCACTGAAATGGTCAATTCATAAAAACTTTAAGAATGTTATATGAAAGAATATTATGACTCACTTAGAGCAAAGGTTTACATTCCAACTACAAAGGGAAAATGATATGTCTAAAGAGGGTTTCGAGATTTTTACCTATTGTCTTAAGAAACTGGACATGTTTTATTATTTCTCTAAATCAGTGGTTCTCAAATCATAGTTCCTTGACCAGCAATTATCAGAATCATCTGAAAATTTGTTAGAAATATAAATTCTGAGGCTCTAGTAAAGATCTGTTAAATCAAAGAATCTAGATGTGAGGCCTGATAATCTCTGGTTTCACAAGCGTGTCAGGTGATTCTTATATATGCTCAAGTTTAAGAACCACTACTCTAAACCAGTGGCTCTCAAGAGGGGATTTGTGTCTCCAGTATCTGGAGACATTTTTAGTTATCAAAAGTGGGACTGGAGGCTGGATGCGGTGGCTTATGCCTATAATCCTAGCACTCTGGGAGGCCAAGGCAGGTGGATTGCCTGAGCTCACAGGTTTGAAACCAACTGAGCCAGAGCAAGACCTCATCTCATAATAGCTGGGCACTGGGGCGGGCGCCTGTAGTCCCAGGTATTTGGGAGGCTGAGGCAAGAGAATCGCTTAAACCCAAGAGTTTGAGGTTTCTGTGAACTCTGAGACAAGGGGTCATTGTAACATTCTGTAATGCACAGGTCAGCTCCTCCTGCAAAGAGGTATCCAGTCCACAGTGTCATGCTGGCGAGATTGATAAATCCTGGAAATAAAACCTCTGGCATTGTTTTTGAAAGACAGGGAGGCTTCTTCCTCAATTCTGGAGCCTAATTCTGAGTTTAGGTGCAACAGAAAGGAGCAGGTTTATAATCCAGGTATTATTTTCATTCCAGAGCTTATTTTGATGCCTGGTGCTGCTGGTGAGTTCTTTTTCTCTCTTTTTTTTTCTACTTAATTTTTATTAAATCATAACTGTATACATTTATGGGGTACAATGTGATGATTCGATATACAATGTAGAATGTTTAAATCAAACTAATTAACACAACCATCACCTCACTTACTTATTTTTGATGTAAGACATAACACACTCTTAGTTGTTTTGAAATGTACCTTTGCATTGTGTATAATGGGTGAGATCCCACCACATACCCTCCCTGCACTCACCCTATCCTCTCCCTTCCCTTCTCCCTTCTCTCTCCTCTTTCTTTCTGGACTATCTTTGTGTTTTATCATTAGTATGAATGTGTAAGTGTTTATATATTGGTTTCCTCATAGTACTGAGGACATTGGATACTTTTTTCCCCCGTTCTTGAGATACTTCACTAAGAAGAATTTGTTCCAGCTCCATCTGGGTAAACATAAAAGATGTAAAGTCTCCCTCTTTTTATGGCTGCTTAGTATTCCATGGTATACATCTACCAAAATTTGTTTATCTGTTCATGGGTTGATGGGCTTTTAGGCTACTTCCATGACTTGGCTATTGTGATCTGAGCTGCAATAAGCATTCTGGTGCAAATGTCTTTGCTGTAAAATGATTTTTGTTCTTCTGGGTAGATACCTAGTAAAGGTAAATCAAAACCACTTAGAGATATCACCTAACTGCAGTAAGATTGGCCCACATCACAAAATCCCCAAACTGCAGATGTTGGCATGGATGTGGAGAGAAGAGACCACTCCTACCCTGCTGGTGGGACTGCAAACTAATACAGCCTTTTTGAAAGAAGTATGGAGAAGTCTCAAGGAAATAAAAGTTGCCCTACCATTTAACTGTGCAATACCAGTACTAGGTATCTACCCGGATGAGTTATTTTTCTCATAAAGTATTAGGACAGAAAACTGTCCTAGCTAACCTATCCCAACCTGGAAGCATTTCTCTCCTGCTATTTCCCCCAAACAACTAACATTCTATAGACAATCATCTGAACTTCATACAGTCCAGACATCCTGAATTAATAACATGATTTGAATGTTTGTCACCCCCCTAATTCGTATCAAACGTAATCCACAATGCAACAGCATTAAGTGGTAGGCCCTCTAGGTGGTACTTAGTCCACAAGGACTGCACCTGCACAGCTGGACTGATGCCTTGTACAAAGACCAGAGGGAACCAGTCAGGCTGGTTTGGTTCTTGTGCACTTTTGCACTTGTGCCACTGAGCACACTGTGTGCATCCCTTCCAGAGGACACAGCGACTAAGCATCATTGGGACTCAGAGACTGGGCCCTCAGCAGACACCACAAATCTCCTGGCACCTTGATCTTGAACTTCCAGCCTCAAGAACCATAAGAAATAATTTTCTGTTCTTTATGAATTACCCAATGCAAGTATTTAGTTCTGGCTACAGGAATAAACTAAGACTTGTGATGTGCTGAAGTCAGGTGGGGCAGCAGTTACTCATGCCACTCTCCCCTGCCCTCAGCTTCTCTCTTCTGGGTAAATACCCACCTCTCTGGGTCTGGGTGTACCTCACCTTCCCCCTTTCCTATGATCAGCCCATGTTCTTCCCATCATGAACCACTTAGCTTAAACAAACACAATCAAAATTGTGTGGAATTAAATAGCAAAATCTCAATATTTGGGGGTGCTGTGGTATTTGTGGTAATTTTAGGATGCTCAACCACAAAAGCCACGTTGTATTACTTTTCCTGGACTGAGATCTGAAAGAGGACAGGGTAGTGTGAGTTGAGTTTTGCCCTAATAACTCTCCCTGCTCTGTGTGTTTAACCTGTATATCTCAAATATGTTTGCTATGATACAGTTCACGTACCTATTAAGTAAGCAATCATAGGGAAGGATAATTTCTGAAGCCCTAATGAAGAAAGACCACCTGTTTATGAGTAAGGGAAAGGCCAAGAAAAAAGAATAAATAATACTGCCCGGAAAATTTTACCCCTTCCTTCCCAAGTCCCACCCCAAATTGGCATGGATCTCCCAGCTCATGCACTAGGTATTCCAGGAGAAGAGATTGGGGGCAATCTGTAGCTGAGTAAGGGATGTCACAGGAATCCTACAAGTTCTCTCTCAATTCCTTACTGAGAACTGTAAGGTGCAGGGATTCTGCAATGCTGTGGACCATCTCAGTGCTTCAAAGAGTTCACATAGTGCCCACTTCTTTCCCATTGATGGCCATTTATTCTTACTTTCATCCACTGTCCACTCCTCCAGTTATATGCCAGATCCACATGACGTGGTTGCATGTTCAGGCTGTGTTCACAGAGGCACACAGTTCCACTGGTTCCAGCCTCCAGGGATGGGGACATGATGCAGATTGTGACTCATTTTTTGCATAGCTTTGTTGTTATTGTCCACATGAGCATAGATGGGAAAGCCGAGCCTGTCCGTTGTCTGCTCGTGGGCATAGACAACATAGGAGACGAGGCCATGGTTCCGGTACTCTGGCAAGGTGCCTGCCATCCGCATCTCTCCAGTCTGGTCCATTAGGCTCCAGGACACAGGGGTCCCTTCAGGCCCCAGTAGACAAATGTTGGGGAAAGCCTGGATACAGCGCTCAATGAATTTCTGGCTTCTCTCATTGCCCCCAAGAGCCCACAACTCATTCACCAAGGCAGCATGTGTAACATCCAAGGATGTGGGTTTAAACATCTCTTGGTTGCTATGGAGAATCCGAAAAGAAAACAACATCTGTAAGTAAGGTTAACATACTGCTTACCTCTATTGTCCCTCTATTGTCTTGAGAGAGAGTGGACAGTACAAATAGCAAATGCAAAGTCTTGGATTGAGAATGAGTTTGTGATGATGGAGGAACAGTGTTGGGGGAAGTGAAGGCCAGTGTTGTTGGGGGAAGTGAGCAGAAAGGGCAGGAAAGGTCCAAGTGGTAGCCAGAGAGCTGATTTATTCCAGATGAGAAGGGAAATGATGGAATCTTTCAAGCATGGAAAGAACATGGTGTCAGTTACATCGTAAAAGATCGACCTTATTACTTTGCAGAACACTGATTGTGGAAAGGCCAGGGTGCCAGCAGAGAGAGAAGCTGGGGGCTACTTCAGTTGGGGGAGGCGTGAGTGGTGTAGAGTGACTGTTTTCCAACTCACATGGGCTTGGGCTTGCCATCAGTGGGTGGTAAATTCTGTGTATCCAGCAGGGAGGGAGCCAGTTTCTTGGCTGTCTGAGGAGCTATATACAGGATGCGTTGTGTTCGTTTGACTTTGAAAGATTTAGTGTCTGCAAGATGTTCTATCACTTGGTTCAGGCTGGGCTGTGAACCTAGATGGGATCACAGGGAGAGACGTCATGGTTCAGATACATAGCAGGAGCAGCTCTCCCTACTGGAGTGCAGTAGGAAGTGTCTGTGATTTCGAGTCCTACACCTTTGATTCTGGGCTTGGTGCTGCCATTTTGTGATCTGGGTCACATAGTAAGATTTTTATAAAAAATATTTTGGTTTGTTTTACTTTAATGAAAACATGCTCAGAGATGAATTCAGTCATGGTCATGTCTTTAGTGGCAATACTGACACTGGAAATAAATTTCCTGAGCTGTATAAACATGTAGGTTTCACAGTGAAAGCAGACGAGTTTTGGTAGCCAAAGCGTCTGTGGCTCAAAGGAGTAGGGCACCAGCCCCATATGCCGGAAGTGGTGGGTTCAAACCTGGCCCTGGCCAAAAATCGAAAAAAAAAAAAATGGTAGCCAATATCTATGGACTTGTTTTCTTAGTGTCATGGATTGTTGAAAGTATGACCCATGATTTGTCCATAGCTCTTGACAACTGTTCATTGGGCTTCACTGCATCTGACCTTGGGCTATTTGACTTGCTTTCACCTAAGGAAAGAACAAATTTAACATGAGGAGAGGCTTAAAGGGCATGCACTTTGGGGCTTCCCCTAGTTCAGCCTGCTGGAAACATGTGCTCCTCTCCTGCTGTCAACAGTCACCATAGTCACCAGCTGGCACCACTGACAGTCAGAACCATCATTCAGGCATCTGAGTGAGGCTGTGGTAGTGCAACCAGCCGGAGTCTATCCGTGAATTGATTACAGCTCCAAGAGCAAACTCTGATGAGCCCAGCAGAGGGACTGATTTGCAATTCAGCACACATGTTTAATTCACAGAATTATGAGGTTTGCTGTATAGCAAAAAAAAAAGAAAAAAAAATTGACACATCCAGGTATACTAAGCTGAAATATTCTTCCCAGGGTGCTGTGATTTAGACCTGATTATTATTCTCATATTTTATATTTAAGTCACACGATCTCAGATCCCTCACACTTGACTAGGGTCACGTAGCAAATGATAGGCAGATGTTGTCCTAGGGAGTCTGACTCCAGTGGGCATGCTGGTAACCATGGCAATTGCCCTTGGAGACCTGGGTGTAGTTCTCTGGGACGTGAACTATCACTCTGAGTCCAGGAACAGAAGGCCAGAGGGGAGGGAGGCCCTGGCATCCAATTCTCCCTAAGTGTTCTAGACATAGCTTCAAAATATGTCAGATCCTTAGTACCAAAGAACCATCCCTCGCAAGCTTTAAGGTTTGGGATTTTACCACCTTTACGGTCACATTTATAGCTGTGTGAACAAAATGTTGGCAGACTGAGGGTCTGGGGCTTGGGAAAAGGAGGCGTGAATCATATGAAGACTTGCCTAGAACACAGAAGTGAGACTGCACAGAGCTCATTTCTCTTACTTACTTTGAATTTGTAAATGCTGCTTCCAATTGATGACATCTGGTGAACCAAGGAATTCCTGGCAGTTTTGGAGATCTTTGGAGTAGATTTGGTAAGCATTGGTATAGTGATCAAGGTCATCTATCATATCCTGTTATCAATGGGAAAAAGGGAATCAAACACAATTCTTATTTTTATGATTGTAATTCTGGTATATTTTATAGAATTCCAGTAGAGCATGGTATTTTTAAGTAATAAAATATGAATATTTTTGTTGGTTTTGCACTTATTTCCAAATCACTTAAATAATGACATGAAATAGCAGACAATCAAGCCATCAATTTACGATACAAAATTCTAGAATGAAAATTTCATTCTAGAATGAAAATAGTCTCTATCCATATAATGTGTTAAAATCTCAAATCAAAGACAACAATTTCAAAAGCATTCTTCAGTGCCTCCATCATACTCAGCAGGAAGAATAGCAATGAGCAAGTGAATGCTTTTCTTATAAGAAAAAATTTAACTACATTTCAAATACTTGCAGAACATATAAACTCTGAACATAACAGTACTAACTTTGATACGGAGAGATCTGGATTAAAATCTCAATGAAACCAATGGATATAAAAAACCACTTAGAAATACTTCCTTTAAAAATTACTGTGGTTATTAAATATATGGCAAGTCCAGAGAAAAATATGACATTTACTCACAAAAATCTTGAATTATTAAAAGCAGATGCAATTATTTCGAGGAGGAAAGGAGAGGAAAACATTACCACAACTAGTGTAGAATTAAAAATTTTTAAAAAGTGGTTATAAAATGTTACACAAAAATGCACTCACAAGTCAGCAATGATACCCCTCTTGCTTCTTCATATCACATTTAAAAGACATTTTATTTCAGTTTAGTTTTCATTATTAGTATAAACTGCTTCATTTTCTATATTGGTTATGTATTATTTTGTTTTTAACTGATGAATAACAGGATACATATATCTACCATAAAAATGAACAACATGGTGTACTGACATACATACACATTGTCAAATGGCTAAACGGTGCAAAGCAACATGGGTGAGGGGCTGCCTTGCTGGGGAGTGCAGGGGAATTAGGTTACAGAGTTTCAGGCAGACAGGAGGAGTTCCAGAGAAATATGGTACAACACAGTGACTATCACTGTGATTTATTGCTGTGTGCCTTGGCTCTGCCTATATCAAGCACAATGTAGCCTAAAGAAATATGAACATACGCTTAGTGCCTGTAGCTCAGCCACTAGGACTCCAGCTATATACATTGGAGCTGGCGGGTTCGAATTCAGCCTTGGCTTATCAAACAACAGTGATAACTAGAACCAAAAATAGCCGGGTGTTGTGGCGGGCGCCTGTAATTCTAGCCACTTGGCAGGTTGAGGCAAGAGAATCGCTAGAGCTCAAGAGTTTGAGGTTGCTGTGAGCTGTGATGCCACGGCACGGCACTCCACCAAGGGTGGCAGCTTGAGACTCTGTCTCAAAAAAACAAAACAAAACAAAACAAACAAACAAACAACAACCCCCCCCCCCCCAGAAATATGAACATAAAAGACTATTCACTCCACACCTGGCACCCTACCTGCTCCTGAGGGCGAACAACCACTGTGTTAAAATCAGGCCACTTGTCCACCAGGGCCATTAGCTTGAATGGGTTTCCCTGTCTTATGTGGAAGACAGTCCCATAAACCTGCAGGATTCCAAGAAAGGGAGACGGTCAGCTTATGAAGAAAGGGGGACAAAGTGCTCTGTTTGATCAGGACAAGGATTATTTCTATAAAATGGTGACATTCTCCTTTGGAAATGAGTGAAATAGAGAATGTAAGTCACATAATCCTCTGACCTACCTTTTTTCTTACGTCAAGGGGAATAGCAATTTTTTCCAATCAAATATAAATCATACATGCAAACAGTAAAATTTAAACAAATAAAACTAATCATTTTAAGAACACTAATCTTTATTGCAGGATTTAATATTATCTTTTTCCAGACTTTCTTCCATTCATACACGTAGCAGCATACCATTTTATTAAAATAAAATTACCAATATTTGCTATTTTTCTCCATTGGATAGATTGTGGACCTTTTTCTATGTGTGCAAATATAAAAATCAATTTTTAGTTATTGTTCATTTATCTTTAAAACTCCTTAATATTTTCACATGACCCACTGGAGAGAGAGGGGAAATGAATTCCCAGCAGCCAGCACAGGCCTACTGTGTCTATTGTTCAAGAGAACGTGTTGGGGTCTCCTATCCTGCACCCTGTCTTGAATCTCTACCTTGCCATATTGGATAAGCTATTGAGAGAGCCACGACAGAGATGGGGAAGTGGGAGAATAAATAAGAACTAACCTATGAAAGCGAGTAACCTTGTGGTTTGGGGGTTGGGAAATGGAGTAATGGGGGACCTCATGACAGTTGTGAATATGAAGCTTCAGCAGATAATGGTCTGAAAAGATGCCACTAATGAGACAACTGGCCCTGTTCTTCACTAGCACAACAAAGTGGCTTCAAGTCAACTAATCTAAAGCTAAAGTCCCATCTCAGTAGAACCTACTAACATTAATATTACTTAACATTATCTACCTTCACATGACGATCCTTAAGATATGGACAATCTCTCAGGGAGACACTGGATTTTTTTCTTGGACGTTCATAAAAATATCTCAGGACACTTCCCTGAGATGTTTTTATGATGAGTTTTCTATTTTAAAAATTCTCCAGGCTGAAAGGGTTTCTTCAACATTATGGGACATAGAATTTTGTGAGCTAAATTTCTCCTAGTGTGAAGTGGGTCCTAGACATTTTGAAAATGTTCTTGGTGTTTCCCAATGATTCCCTCATGAGGCACATCTGTGGTAAGATGGGAAGGTTCTCCTGGCTCCTCAACTTTCATGAAGAAAACAGCATTCCTCTTCTTTGATTACAGACAAAAGATATACATTTTCCCCTCAAAGGAAGCTAGGATGTTTGTGTGCTGGGTGCTTCTCATGGAAGAACTCACTATTACTTACATACTGAAGGCCTAGTTGGGAAAATGTCCGTCCGTTCTTCTAAGTCTTTGATATATTTTATAACACTTTGGAGGAGAACTTTGAGGAAATGTCATGTGTTTTTAGGAAATGTGCCTTGGAAAATACCAAAGAACTAATTTTTGAGTTAGTACAGCCCAAAAGGCAGTGTTTGGACTCAGACACGCCCAGGCTCCTATCATACCACAGCAACCCCCTCTCCGAGAGACAGCGAGCAGGTAACTTTGCTGAGCCTCCATTTTCTCATTAATGACACGGACACCATACCAGAGACCTTGTAATGAGGTGATGCAAATTAAGGGAGAGAAACATGGCCTGGCGCCTGGCTGAACAGAGGTGCTCCATAAATGCTGGTCTGTTTGTGTCTTTCCCACCAAGTTTCTCTTCTCTACTCCCCTCAGAATTTCCCACAGTCACCTTTATGGACTCAGGGAGGCTCTTCCTCAAGGCTTCCTCCAGTGTCTGCAGCACCTTGGCCCCTTGCAGCAGTGACATGGTGGAGGGTCACTTCACCTAGAGAGATAAGCAAACAGCATGAGCAGTGAGAAGAGCAGGAGGGGACTCAGACCGAAGAGTGGTGAGGTCTGTGTTAATGGCCAGCGTTGTCTTCAGTGTCTCTTCATTGAAGTCCTATCCACCTCCAAGGAAAAAGGGGACTGGAAAAATACACAGAGATAATATTATAGAACTAAGGTTTGCCTTCTCACTTGAAATAATGATAATTGTCATATGTTGGACATTAGGCCATGCAGAACTATGATCCCTGAGCAAAGCAAAATTGTAAGCCCTAGTGTTGCATTAGCTCATTGTTTAAAGGCAGCTTCCAGGTCACAGCTCAGGGAGAGGGAACTCAAGCAGAGCCCAGGAGCTGTCACTAAATACAGTACATACAAGTTGGAGTGTGGAGCAGGCATTGTGGCGCCAGAAAGCAGAGAGAGAGAAAAGAGAGAAGAGAGATTTTTTCCCCCTAGAGATCTTAGGAGAAGAGCAGTCCTTACTGTGTTTGGCTAATTATTGATCTGCACACGCATCAAAGAAATGACCTTAGCCTTACCCCAGAGAAAGAATCACTGGAAAGGAGCACATAAGATAAAATGATTTGTATTCCCACAGGCTGCAGTTGGAAGATTTTATCTGGTAAAATGTTCAGGATTATCCAGGTGTTTAAATCCAGTCTGGTCTTTTCTTGATCCACCCTAATGGTTAAAAGCAAGCCTTGAAATAGTCTAATGATTCCAATAACTTACCTGTGCATCAGAGCCAAATACAACACTAAAAAAAAAAAAACCTATCATTTATCAATGTGTAATTCACATTGTCCAGCATCCAATAGAAAACCAGAAAGTAAGGTATATGAGAAAGCCAGAAAACATGATCCAGGACCAGAAGGAAAATATTCGCTAACAATCAATCTAGAGCACATCCTTGCAAAACTACATTCCCTCTATTAGTCCTATCCCCCCATAACCTTGTAATAATTCTTGAAAAAATAGTCTTCTGACTTTAAAAAATAATAATAGACCTAGACATGTTAAAACTAGCTGACGAGGATATGAAATAGCTATAACATTTTTTTTTACAAAAATTTATAGGCAATTCAGTGACTATAGAATAATAATCTTTTCAATGAATGGTGAAGATTTGTATTTCTAGACGGTCAAGTTGACTTCTTGATGGACTCATGTGGTTACACATTTCGGACAGTGGAAGTTAGAAGAAAGGCATTGCTGTCTGGGCTTACCGGCCCTTCTGCTGATTTTGGCTCCCCAGATTCTTTATCTAAATAGGTTCCTATATCATGGTGGACAAATTTGAGAAAGAAAAATAAAAGCAGCCCTTAAAACATAACACTTTCACAGAAGAGCCCCATCAGGCAAGGTCACGCTGTGGACATAATGGAACGAGACAGAAATAAAACCTCTCCATAAGTGCATTTGACCACAGAAATAAACAAAAGAGCAGTCTTATCCACAAAAATGGCCAGGCGTCCCTCTCCCCAGTTCCTGTGCCTTCCTTACCTCAGCTCCCTGCCACTGGCTTCAAGGATAAAGATAGAATTGTCCACCTTTCTGACAGTGTCCACACCAGAGCAAAACCTGCCTCCTTGAATCCTTCCCCAAATCACTTCAATCAGGGTCCTCCTACCAAACTGAGAGGTGCCGCATTCCCCCAGGTGTGCAATGTCTCCCAGTGCAAAAGACAATAAGCCCAACGTGGTGGGAGTACAGGTGTGTCCATGGGATCTCTGTCAGTTTAGCCACACACTTAGTTGTTTGGCTCTGAGGCATTGCTCTCCACTGTCTGGTACTCTGTTTGTTTTGACTTCCCAGATCTCTCAGTGTCTCCTTTTCAGCCTAACCCCTCAGGACTACCGATTCTTGGGGATAGTCAAGAAAGATTAAAACCTGCAGCAATGAAGCCAGTATTCATTTGTTCCTATGGAAAAACGTCTTTTTTTTTTAAGATTAAACTACATTTGGAGACCCTGCTGCTTTAACATGTTGTTGGGCAGTGTGGGAACTGGTGGATGTTCCTGATTTTCCAGATGTGTGTTCCTATCCTCATCCCAGCTCTTTGTTGATCATTTGAAGAAAACAATAGGCAGTTAACTTTCCCTCTATCTCCTTTGTGGTATGAGAAGTGGAAAGACCTGTCCTGAGCATGAAGACTGGAGGGCACCTTGACCACAGCTACTGAGCTTAAGATTAATTTAGGAAATGCAAATAGAATCTTTTTTTTTTGTACCACAGACTCAGTCTACCTTTCTAGCTTTTTCTCTTGCTACTGTCCAACATATAAGAACAGGAAGCATTTTTTCAACACCTTGCCTGCTTTAGCACCCCTGTCCTTTCTGCATTTTATTCCCAGATTGAAATTTCTCACTTCTGCTCTTCCTTCTAAATTTGGTTATTACTCATCCCTCAAAGTGCAGCTTAAGGATTTCTCATTTCCAGTGACCTCTTCTGATGTCTCTTGCTTCAGGCTGAATAAATAATTCCTCATCCTGGGCTCTCATAAGTGTTTCTGCATATCTCCACTGCAGAACTTACCACCCTGGGGGTTTTCTGTACTTTTTTAATTGACATATAAATATTGTGTATATTTGTGGTATTAAACATGTTGCTTAAAATTGAATTAGACTTTTCTTTTTACAGATTTTACATTCCTCTGAGGAAAGAAATTCATTTTATATATTTTCCTATCTTTAATGCTTTTCATGGTATTATATAGTAGTCCCTCAATGACTGAATGCATGAAATAGTTGTATTTACTTGTTTGTCTAGTGCTCCACTTTATAAATGTACAGAGATATTCATACATTCATTCAATCAACATATATGTATATATATATATGCATATAAATATGCATATATATATATGATATGAGAATGATTTTCAGATATTTTTAATTAAGTTATGTCTTTTTTTTAAAGATTTTCTTTTTTTTTTTTTGAGACAGAGTCTCACTGTGTTGCCCTCAGTAGAGTGCTGTGGTGTCATAGCTGAGAGTAGTCACCAACTCTTGGGCTTAAGCAATTCTCTAGCCTCAGCGTCCCAAGTAGCTAGGACTATAGGCACCCGCCACAATGCCCAGCTATTTTTGTTATTGTTGTTGTAATAGTTGTCATTACTATTTAGCTGATCCAGGCCAGGTTCAAACCTGCCAGCCTGGGTGTATGTGGCTGGCACCCTACCCACTGAGCTATGGGTGCTGCCTATTAAGTTATGCCTTGAAGAAAACTCCAATCCAGGACATTCATATCTTGTCTTATAAGGGCAAAAGTACAACATTCCAGAAAGCTAAGATGCCTTGTAGAGTATGATGTCAAATCCATGGGGTATAATGTCACTATATTTTCTGAAGGGTACAGTTTAGAACCCTCTCTAAGGATGTATTTATGCACAAACAAGCAAGAAAAGCACCTAATAAATAGAGTGAACATTAAGGAGATGGAAACTTTGCAGAAAAATCTGTCATAATTCCTATATCTAAAGGCATTGGGCAATGGGCAGTGGCCTTGTCCATGAACTCAGAGTCTTTGAGTCAGTCATTACAGAAGTGGAAATCAATCCAAAGAAAACAATTGAAGAGGGAAAAACAAGTCTAAACAGAATTTTTCAAGTCACATATGCATAAACAAATACTGAACAAAATCCCAAAGTCTAGCAATAGGAGAAGGTAACGTAAAATATGACATAACACGGTGATGCAACTCTAAGGCATTGACATAATACATGTAAACATAATACTGTAGACTCTCCATAGTTTGACACGTCCATAGCTGACCACCTCCTTAAGTTGACCTGATTTTCGTGGCCTGGACAGGCACCATATGTTCATATCATTGCAGGAGATCTAGTTCCTTAGGTTGACCACCTCCCCATGTTGACCAATTTGTGACAGTCCCTTATGTGATCAATTTACAGAGGTTCTACTAAGTATTAAACATTTAGATATGGAGGAGATTATTAAAATAAAGTCAGAAAGTATAGGATATAAAACATTTCATATGCAACATATAAAGTACAAATCTATTTTTTTTCTTTTGGAGACGGAGCCTCAAGCTATCCCCCTGGGTAGAGTGCTGTGGCATCACAGCTCACAGCAGCCTCCATCTCCTGGGCTCAAGCGAGTCTCCTGCTTCTGCCTCCCAAGTAGCTGGGACCACAGGTGCCCTCAACAATGCCTGGCTATTTTTTGGTTGTAGCCGTCATTGTTGTCTGGAGGGCCTGGGCTGGATTCGAACCCACCACCTTAGGTGTATGTGGCTAGCACCTTAGCCACTTGAGCCACAGGTGCCAAGCCTAAAATACAAATCTAAAAGAGAACACAGACAAATTTGAAAAAAATGACTAAGGTAGTGAAATTTTAGTTGAAAGTTTTGATTTTTTTTTTCTTTTTAATCATACAAAACTCTTGCACAGAGGCCATGTGAATCTTATCTGGATCTTCCCTATTTTAGCATATGTGCTGTCAGAGTGAGCACCACAGTTGAAATCTTTAAAGTAAAAATTTGTGTTTTATTTAAATAAAGTTATTACCAGTAGGTCAAGGCAAACAATGCTTCCTTTCTGACGTAACCAGAAGATTAAATACAGTTGTTTTTCCAGCATCTCCCACTTGTTCCCAGAAAGCACCTGACTCTCTCCTCATACATTTATTAGCAGAGCAGAAAACTCTATGAATTTTTTGTGGTCTTTGACACACTGCCTTTACAGAGCAAATGTGAGTTGAAGTTTCTCCTTTTCCTTGGGCACACTTGCGTGTCATTTCTGAGTGTAACACAGTATGGGAATTTTGATTCTACTCACCTAAGTGGAGGGGTTTTCACAAAGCAATGATTAATTTTTTTTAAATAAATTTTCTTGTGTCTATTGAAGGTGCACAACAAGATGTTATGAGGTAGATACAGATAGGGGAAAAGTTGCCACAGTGAAACAAATTAATAACTCCATCATGTGACATAGTTACCGAATTTTGTATAGCAAGAACAGCAGAAATCTACTCATTTACCATGAATCCTATATCACAGTACAGTTTTATCACCTAGAGTTCTCATTTTTGTAACAGATGTTTCAATCTATTCACCCAACATACCTGCTACTTGGAGATGAGTCCTCCCCTGATGAGTTCACTTCACACCAGTCTCTGCTGAAGTCCCTAGGAACAAATGATGGACAGCAGCCTCCAGGAGATGAAATTTTCTCCTGATGCAGTCAGTACAGCAAGGTGTGCAGAGGGAGGTTTCTAGAGATATTGCTGAGCTGAAGGTGGTAATATGAACCTTGTACATTGTGGGCAAAAACTGTCATCATCAGCTCCAATGAAATGCAACCTTTCCCCTCACAGTCTCACGTTGAAGGAGTGTGCTCCCTGAGTTTCTCTTTCCAAAACACCTGCTCTTTGGCCCCACAGGTCCTGATATTTTGTGCAACCCCAAGCTGTGTGACACCAACAGACCAGATAATGGAAAAACAGGTTATGCAAGCAATGCCCTCTTCCTGACCTTCCCATTCTCAAGTACGTTCAGTAAATGCTAGACACTGAGTGCACACATTTGCACAGAGGGCAGTAAAACTCAGTGGAAATTAACTAGGGGGAAGGGATGAGAGGAGAGGGGAATAAACCAACCTATTTGGTCAATACAAAATCTATGTGGGTTTTACAGGCATACCTATAGCTGGGGCTCAAATATTACAAAAAATGCTCCATGTAGCCTAAAACATTTGAACCCCCTTAGTATTTTAAAATGAAGAAAGAGAACATGGATAAGATCTGATT